ATTCATTGGATTGTTGGGGGAACGGTTGCGGAGAAGTTGAAGAATTTACTGAGATTGTTGTTCGTGAACTTTTATAATGAAGCATTCCTTCACGTCAAAAAATAATAAATTCTCATTTATTCTGTATCGCTATCGGCTGTTCCATTATTCATTGTGTTGAAGCTGAAAATTCAATGTAGGTGGATTTTTTCCCCAACATTGAATCATAATAAAAGGAAATCGGTGGATGTAAACGCCCAATTACATCAAGGCAAAATAAATCGCAAGAGATCTAGTATGGTAATATTTTTACTGACTGAGTCACAGAGAATTGACAAATCTGTTTTTTTTATCTCTTGGAGCGCACGAAAGCACATTCCTGAATTGATGAATTACCTTCAGTGGAAACAAAATAATATTGTTTCTTAAGATGAGAGTTATATCATTCTATCTCTGAGTCATCATGCCACATTTTTTTCATTCAAATTGTCCTGAGCAAGTATTTTCTAAGATTGATTTCAAACCTTCTTGTATCATGTACCTATATTTTTCAACTCATCTGGTAATGAATTGTATGAAATTATTCCAGTGAAATACAGATTGTTTGTCAAAGCTTGACTTTAATGTATTTGCTATCAAGTAATTCAATTGTCTAGTCCCATAACTATGGACTGTATTGACTTCATTAAAAGCTGAATTTTATATTATCAATTCATTTCTGGCAAAATGAATGAAACAACATATTTCAAGTTTATATAAAAAAATCATGTTAAGAATATGTCTAGGTTTGTATAAATTTACCGTTAGTTCTAGAAAATGTAGATGAGAAATGCATTTGATTGATTTGTTTTGTAATTTCATTAGTGTTTTTATTGAATATTGCAAATTTGAATAAATGATGCCAAAACAAATACATTTCAAGTATTTCATGGGAATGATATTTCGGATTTTGGATAGAATGCCAATGATCGGATTTATTTTATTCCTCAAATGGTCTATATGTTTAGTCCATAATAATTTTTCATCAATATAGATACCTAAAAATTCTGTCACGTCTGTATATTTGATGAATGTATCGATGAAAGTTATAACATTATTCGGAATAATAAGAAATCTCTTGGAAATATACATATATGAAGATTTGTTATAATTCAGGTTTTTTTATAATGCAGATTCTGAATGATTATAAGAATACTTTACCTACTACCAATATGTAATGTGAAACATTCCGACACTGATTTCAGTATCGTAATGAGATACTTCACCGCACTAGTGCGGTACAGTGAAAAAAATATAGTTTGAAATTTTATTTTTACTCAAAAACAGAAATAAGAACCAATTTATCATGAACATATCAGGTACTAAAGTTTCGATTGCTGCATTTCCCGCAATTTCTATATCGGAATCTAAACTTTCCTGATCCGAATTCATGCCGATGAATTTTTTTTCGAATTGAAATTAATGCGTCAAAGTTAACAGTTGTGACAATGAGTGACAACCGAGGACACAATAGATTCACGACAACCATACGCCCAACCCTTGCAACGCTTGCTTGTTGTTGAATATTGAATATTTTTGATCAAATAATTAGCTTATAATATCGTGTAATGGGTCTTTACGATACTCGTATCGTAAATATCTATTATTTTGCCTATTTGAATGTTTCTGTAAGATCAATATTAACTGAGATAGCTTTTGAGTAAAATATAAACAATCACCCCGTACATGAATCTGAAGAGAAAACGGTTCGCGACAGTGAACTAGTCTGTGTCTCGTTTGTGTTAGTAGGTACTTCAGAATAATGAAATGAGATTTTTCACTGAAACAAGCCCTATTGTTCCCGCAAAATGAACCGTGCAGGTAAATTTATACCAGATCAATTAACCCAAGTGAGTGATTAGTTATCTAGGGAATTCGGATCGTAAGTACTGTTAGGAGAGCCAGCAGGCATGACATATACTGCTCAATTATTTCTGATAGCATCAGGATGAAAAGGGTTATTTGCGTTTCCACCTGAACGTGGATTGGCATTTCAGGGCTTGGTTCATTGATATAATGACTAATAAGATTGATATGGCGTAACCTTCTACTAGGGCCCCTTGAAAACTGACGTATTTGTCATCTAATAGGGTAAGGACAGATCATATAGCTCCTTTCGCTTCTAATGATCTAGTGACTTTGGTTTCGTGTATTGGCGTCCCTGACATGACATTGCTGTCACGTCACATTCATAGGCGTTAATAGTTATTTAACCAACTAGTGTATTAATGAGGGCGATTAATGATCGAGATATATCAACGTGCGAGCGAAGCGACAAGTTGCTTGCAACATTTTTCCGTCGACTATAGTTCTCATTTCTCCTGCAATGAAGAAAACTTGGTTCGCGAATTCATCATTCACCCGGAAACTGCTAAGAATCACCCAGTAGCCTTGTTACTGACATTAGTGTCATTTGACATTTGGCGAAATGATCAACATAGGAAATAAATTCCTTGTGGAAACTTGGAAAGGCGAACCCGTTAAAAATCGTCGATGAAATCTATATTTTCGATTTAAATGCAGATTCCGCTAGTTATAGCATAAACAATGAATGCACGTGGTGTATGTTTGGTTGCCTATAAAATAATCGTGCATTAATAGACAAATATTAATAGGGGTCATTTATGAACGATTTCATATACATTAAACTTAGTCGTTAACGAGATCGACGGAAAAAGAGATCTTACAAAATTTTAATTTCATACTTCATCTTAATACGACATTATTCAATTCTGTTTTGAAATGATGATAAAATGTTCTCCGTTAGGCTGTATCAATCAGTTGGATGGCAAATTTGAATTTATCAGATTTACATCGAATGCAAATGAACTAAGAACATGGGAAAGTGAAGTGACCGAATGGGGAAAATTGGTAAATACATCAGCAAAATATTCGAGGTGAAACTAATACGAAATCACATATTATACTTTCTCATTGTGCCTATAATTAGGCACTCTACAAGTTTTTGAATGCATTTTAGTTTTGATTGAATCGGAGGATTAAAAGAAGAGGCAACATCATGAATATACAGGGTGTCAGTGAAAGGTCTTCAGAAAAACATACCACATATTCCCTACACCAAAATAAATCGATTTAAGTAAAATTACCTCAGTACAAAGTTGCATCGTTTGGGCTCCAGAGGGCCTTGAAGTTACAATTTTTGAATCGTTTTTCCCATATAAATTTAAAACGGCATATGCGATTTTGCTGAAATTTGGTATATTGATAGAGTTTTAGTAGGCAAAAATGATGGTGTTAAAATTTTGTTCATAGGCGTAGGACTTGATTTTTTAAATAATTGCACCTTTAAAAATTCTACGCCAATGGAAGAAAAGGAGTTTGAGTATGAAATTTAGATTGCCAAACTCATTTACTTTGAAAAAGGTACTCTTGATAAGACTCGATTGCTTTTATGGTTTTGACAAAATTTGCATTTTAGTAATTTTAGAACATGAACAATAATTATTAAAATACAAACTTTGTCAAAACCATAAGAGTAAATCGAGTGTTATCGAGGGTACTTTTTTGAAGTAAATGAGTAACCAATCCAAATTTCATAGTCAAATCCCTTTTTTGCCATTGGCGTAGAATTTTTAAAGGTGCAATTATTTAAAAAATCAAGTTCTACGCCTATGGCAGAAAAGGGGTTTGATTATGAAATTCGGATTGGGTACTCATTTACTACAAAGGAGTACCCTTGATAACACTCGATTTACTCTCATGGTTTTGACAAAGTTTGTATTTTAATAATTATTGTTATGTTCTAAAATTACTAAAATGCAAATTTCGTCAAAACCATGAGAGCAATCGAGTCTTATCAAGAGTCCCTTTTTTGAAGTGAATGAGTTGCGCAATCTAAATTCATACTCAAACTCCATTTCTTCCATTGGCGTAGAATTCTTAAAGGTGCAATTATTTGAAAAATCAAGTTCTACGCCTATTTATTATTATCGGACAAAATTTTAACACGTTCTTCGGTATAATCAAGAATGATTCTAACTTGCTTGCGTGGTTTGACATTGGATTTCAATTGAAATTCTATCACATCGCGTCAAATGTTCAGGTCCTGTAATTATTTATTGGTCGTAGAAAATAGTACATAGTTTTATTAGGATCAAATATGACACTTTGTTCAACGAGAGAAATTTGTGTTTGCGAGGCGGAGCGACCGCGAAGCCGAGATTATGACGAAATACGATTCTGATGATTTACTGTTGCTATGGAACGAGGTTCTGTTGGATTACCATTCTTATGTATTATAATTCTGATATAGATACGCTGTAGACAGAATACGCAGATTATGATTGATGATTGCCGACATGTTCTGATAAATTATTTTTTCCATCGAATACGGTTCTGATGAATTACATTTTAACGACTAAATCGTTTCTGCATGAAAAAGGAGACTATTTTCTCCAAGCAAAAGAACCTAACAAGCCTAAATCAACCTTTCTCCTGAGAAGTATATTATTGAAAAAATTACTTGTAGAACAAATTTTAAAAAAGTAAGCCCTCGCAGGGGTTGAACCCGAGTTCCGCCGTGGTAGTCAGATACTTTGTCATCAGAGATATCTCTTTGTTCGGAAGTACTCTCTATGAAGAAGAAAGAAATATCGTCGCGTCGATTGTTTATGTATCAGTTTGCTACCGCCGCGGTATCTGAAATAAATGGCATCTGTAACAAGAATGCTACGTATTACAGTTTTCTTAAAAAAAAAACTGTTGTAAACGTCGAACATTCTGTGTAGGGGGAGAATTTTGACAAGAATTAGTTCTGCAAAATGGATAACTGAAGATTTGATAGTTCCTCAACTTCTCTGACGTTTCAGGTGTCTCTGTCACAAGAACTAATAATCTTCAGATTCTAAAAAAAAAATCGAATACCTACCTTCTCCACTTTCCGTCCTGGAACACAATAGAGATTCCCTTACGTGCGCACCAAGAGATGCCAAAAAAAAATATATCGTGCTATATTTACTCACTTAAGATACTCGATGAGATTAACGATAGGTAAAAGACGATTCCGACTATGGTAATGTTGATGACAAAGAGAGATGTGATCCATGACGGCCTGGGTGCGATAGATTTTGTCGACGTTGATTAATCCTGGCCCCACTGTCGTGAAGTGATGATCTTCTCCATTGTAATCTGATATGAACTGAAAATTATAATGATCAGTATTTACACATTGCTTCAACCAATATCGTTGCGTATAATTCTAGCCAATCATTTGCTATTATACTGATAATTTGTTACTTTGTTAGTAGCAAATTACAGCAATAATTTCTTTGCGTTTGAATCTATATTTCAATGAATACATAAAGGGGCACATGGACTATGTTGTCGGATGGCTGTTATGTTAGTCGACCAAAAAATGATGTAAGACCAAAGTGTGTAGTTGTAAAATGTTCATTTTAGCTGGGCCCTTCGCGAAATAGTTGAGAAAAAAATTTCGGAATAATTTTAACGATACCTCCCCAAGTTCGAAATTGAGACTTATCATTTTCAAATTAGAATTGAACACATTCAAATTGGTAAACAGATTCAAAATGCGAATAAACACAATCAAATCGGAGATACTCATATAAAATTCATGATGACCAGTTTCAAATTAGGAATTAACATATTCAAGTTGATTAACACAGTATTTAAGAATAAACTCATTCAATTTGGGACCAAACAACTCCAAATTGAGAAACGAATTGTCAAGATATACAGTGTGTCCCACTTACCATGCTCACCATGGGTATCTTTTTAACGGTGAGAGATACGAGGTCGGTTAAATGACACCAAATGTGGAGTTTGTCAAGGTCAACTATAATGTGAAAAAAATATTTCGATAAAATCTATTCGTTTTTGTAATAGGCAAAAAACAGATTTTGATCATTTTCATTTCTCCTCCGTGACTTCTTTATTTATGAAAATATTCAAATAGGAACTTCACATTCTCATAGCAGTTTTTCAAAATGATTTCGAAAAAAATATGAAATTTTTACCAACTCTTCTAGAATTTGAGATATCAGCACCAACTTCAGTTTTTCAAATGTAGGTCATAGCTCACTATGACTTAGTTACAAATAACTTTTTTTTCTCTTACAGATGATATGTCGCAGTAATAGTTTTGTGTTGATAACAACGGAGTAATCGTCATTTATACAAAGACAAAAAATGATTTGAATGCCGCCATCTTGAATTCATAAATTTTAACAAAAAAATTATGATCTCCGACCTCAAAAACCCCCATTTACCAATTTTGAATGGAATCGGACCAAATCGTGTCCGCCATCTTGGAGCAGCCATTTTTTTAATTTCAGCGAAAATTCCATAGCTTCGATTAACTTCAAATTTGGCAGATGTTTATAATTTCGATGACAATTCATTATGGAATTTTTGTTGAAATTAAAAAAAATGGCTGCTCTAAGATGGCGGACAATATTTGGTCCGATTCCATTCAAAATTGGTAAGTGGGGGTTTTTGAGGTCAGAGATCATGATTTTTTTGTTAAAATTGATAAATTCAAGATGGCGGCTTCCAGATAATTTTTTATTTTTGTATAAATCACGATAACTCCGTTGTTATCAACACAAAACTATTACTGCGACATATCATCTGTGAGAGAAAAAAAAGTTATTTGTAACTAAGTCATAGTGAGCTATGACCTACATTTGAAAAACTGAAGTTGGTGCTGCTATCTCAAATATTAGAAGAGTTGGTATAAATTTCATATCTTTTTCGAAATCATCTTGAAAAACTGCCATGAGAATGTGAAATTCCTATTTGAATATTTTCATAAATAAAGAAGTTACGGAGGAGACATGAAAATGATCAGAATCTGTTTTTTGCGTATAAAACAAAAACGAATAGATTTTATCAAAATATTTTTTCACATTATAGTTGGCCTTGACAAACTCCACATTTGGTGTCATTTAACCGACCTCGTATCACTCACTGCTAAAAAGATACCCATGGCGAGCATGGTAAGTGGGACACACTGTATTGTGTCAAAATCGGAATTAAATATTAGCAATCCCAATTCATCATAAATAATATTCGAATTGATATACAGGGTGTAATTCAATTGATGGCTGAAAATATGGGATATGGTTCTTCAGCTCATTTTATGAAGAAAAACTCATATGAACATATGCCATGAACCTCTTAACTTTCGAACTATAGGGTGTTAAAATTGTATTTCTTTTTTTCTGGTGATTTCACAATGTGAAAAACTGTCACGTTTATGGATACTTGTCAAAATAAGAACGCAACGTAATCGATTGAATTTCATTATTTTGAGAACGAAATAGGGCACGTGTGGAGGCGTTTCAAAAATCGGTTTTGTAAGTGATAAAACAGTGTAGAGTAGCTCTCGTGAGTGCAAAAAGAAGAGGAAACGTACTCTCACCTACCACTTGTCTTTGCTGCTGTTGGTCCCTGTGCCCTGCGCCCTTCGCCGACTTCCCTGCCGCCGCGCCCAGATGCTCCCCCGTTCCGGCTGCCCCTCCACCCGTACTACCCCCTCCCCCTCCCTGAGCCGGCTGGCCCTCCTGCGCGGCGAGGATCTCGCGCAGTTCCCTGAGAAAGGCGCCGAAGAAGGGCACGACAGGGCACTCTGTCATCGATAGGGCACGGCTCAGGGCGCGGTCGTATTCGGCGGACAAAAGGGCTGCCGAGAGGAAGTCGAGGACGGGGAGGGTCTCCTTCTCGGTGATGGACAGCCAGAAGGGTTTGAGTTTGTTCGATCTGGAAGAGGAACGAACATTTGATGAGATGTATTATTTCAACTACCTCACTAAACTGGTCAACATTGATAACGTCGTGGTCCAAAATATAGCCTGAATTCAAAATAGAATAACTCACGAATTTCCTTACCAATTTGAAATCGGTTTTCACCGATGCCCAGCGAGCACAAACATCCCTGGGATGTTTTGGGATGTTTTGAAAATGTTGGCACGAAGATGTCATTTTGAGACGTAATATGCACTGACCAAAGAGGTCTCTGAAGGATATTGAAGTATTGTTTTTGTTCTTCTGTGGCATTTCTTTGTTTGCCTACTGAGAGGTATCCCTGGGATGTTTTGGGATATTTTAGAATTGTAGGCATGAGGATGTTTTTTTTGAGGCGTAATATGCACTTTCCAAAGAGGTCTTAGAAGGATATTGAAAGTATTGTTTTTGTTCTTTTGTGCCCTTTCTTTGTTTGCCCCACCACAACGTCTCATGCTCACGTCACAATATGATGAATTCTGATTTGTTTTCGATTTTGTTCTTCTTGTTCGCAATTGGCATTCGCGTTTGCAGCGTGTCACGCTTACATCACGCTGCTAACGAACAGAAAGGAATTTGGTGAAGTTTATTGTGTTAGAAGACTTATTTAGTTTGTAATAATGACCATCAGATGCAAGATGTGTTGTTCGGTGCCTCAGTGTAATCAATATATAAAAGTAGGAATTCATCAATACACAGCTTCTCCGCAGTTGCAAAATTATGCATTGTGGAGAACATTTCAAAAATTAGGAAACCTATTTCCAATTATATGTCTGTGTGTAGTAAGCACTACTCAGAAACCGATTAAGAAGGTAATTTCATATCAAGAACATGTTTTTATGTTCAATCTATTTTTAATGCATTTTTTCATTCAAGGGAAATGGAATCCTAATGCAAAAGTTCATTTTGACAAAAGGCTTCAGAAAAGTACCTCGAAAATGTTTTTTTACAGCGATTTAATGTGCGCAAGACGCGTTGAAAATGTTCTGTTGTGTCCATGAAAAGGCTTTAAAAAGAACTAGGGAGAAGGTAGTTTTGTGACATATCAAGGACATCTCGATAATTGCCGCCAGCGGCGGACATTGGCTGTTCTATAATAGTTCTATTTATGTGTGAACAGAACATCGCAGTGGAGGTTCAATGTCTCGAAATCTCGTACTTTTAACATCTCTGAGATATTTTTGTGCTCGCTGGGTGACTAGCCCAATCTCTTGACAGTTTGTTGTGGCAATATGAAACTTCTGTAATTTCAGATAACATTGCTACAGGGTTGTAAAATTGCATCGTGAGCGTCACCTCACCGTTTGAACAGATAATTTCTTCCATTTTTGTTCTCACCTGTATCCTATTGATTGATGCTTTGTCTCGAAAGGTTTCCGGAATTTTCGAATTCAGGGTTTTCATAATCGTGTTATGAATATTCATTCGAAATGATGCATTTTTTGAACGATTAATTGAATGAAATTGGAAGTTGGAATCCTTTTTCGAAGATTCAACGTTGTATGTTTAGTCGTCGGATATGTGATTGTGTTCGAACACAGAAAATTCTGAAGAAGTCTATACAAAGTAACACAAGAAATACTGAATGATGAAATGGATAATAACGTAGTCTTCAGTAGATGAAACATACTTCTCTCTGTGTTACTAGTGACATAATGGAGTGTTACTAGACTTCTTCAGGATTTTCTGTGTGGGAACACGATCACATATTCGACGACTATACATCATACAAGGTTGATTCTTCGAAAAATAATTTTAGTTTCCAATTCCATTCAATTAATCGTCGAAAAAATGCATCATTTTGAATGAATATTCATGACACGATTATCAAAGCTCTGAATTTAAAAATTCCGAGAGCATCAATCAAGAGGACACAGGTGAGAAAGGAAATAAAAAAAATCATCTGTTCAAACGGTAAGGTGAAGAACACAATGCAATTTCACACCCATTCAACTATCATCCTGTAGCAATGTAATCTGAAATAACAGAAGTTTCATATTGCCACAACAAACTGTCATGAGATAAGGCTAATCATCGGTGGAAACCGATTTCGAATTGGTGAGGAAATTCGTGAGTTATTCCACTTAGAATTCAGGCTATAGTTTGGACCACGACATTATCAATGTTGACCAGTTTAGTTGTCATCGATTTCAGAACGCTTAGTGCCTGTGGAAGTTTTCGATAAATCAATAGATGTTTCCTTTTTTAGGGAATTATTAGTACCAGAAAAATTTTCGATTTTTTGCTATATCAGACTCATTAGATATTGACTCATTTTTGCTACAACTGAGCTTCTACTTCGACCATATGGTCTAATTGTTGTAAGATCAGCAGATCTAGTAGCCAATGATGGAGTATTTTCATATTCGGTGGATAAAAGGGTAGCCGAGAGGAACTCAAGGACGGGAAGGGTCTCCTTCTCGGTGATGGACAGCCAGAAGGGTTTGAGTTTGTTCGATCTAGAAAAGAAAACTTCAATTTCAACCCTCCTCGAAGTGAGGAAAAGTACTATTCTCCTCCCTGAGAACAAGAATTCTCCACGCTACAAGTAAATGTTGGCTTCTCTTTTGACGAATGCTATGCTATGCTGGACACTTGATGTATTTATTTTTAATAATATTAAGTCCTGATAGAACCCACTATATTTGCTCAAAATAATGTTGATGGTTTCAATTCTCTTGTTCACTGCAAAAAATACTAATGTGGCATCTTTGGAGACTTTTTTTACTTGGCGTTCTTCTAATCATTACCGCATTACCGGTTTTGAACAAGCTGCAGTTGTTTTTAATATATAAACACGCATCATAATTATTTTTTTCGTCGACCTCGTATTAAGGACTAAGTTTAATGTATATGAAATCGTTCATTAATGACCCCTATTGATGAACGATTTGTCTATTAATGCACGATTGTTTTATAGGCAACCAAACATACACCGCGTGCATTCATTGTTTATGCTATAATTCACGGAATCTGCATTAATATCGAAAATATGTATTTCATCGAAGATTTTCCGTTAACGGATTCGCCTTTCCAAGTTTCTGACATGATTTCAATCCCTGTTTTCTAACATAAGGAATTTATTTTCTAAGTTGATCATTTCGACAAATGTCAAATGTCACTAATGTCAGTAACAAGGCTACTGGGTATTTCCTAGCAGTTTCCGGATGAATGATGAATTCGCGAATCAAGTTTTCTTCATTGCAGGAGAAATGAGAAATATAGTCGACGGAAAAATTTTGTAACCAACTTGTATATTAAAAGGCGATTAATGATCTCGAACATTGAATATCTCGATCATTAATCGCCCTCATTATTACACTAGTTGGTTAAATAACTATAATTCACACTTGAGGACATGTGAAGCGGTGAATGTGACAACACGGCGCGCACGACTTGTGGGCGTGGTCTTGTGCCTTATCAGCGTTCAGCGCAATGTTGCCATTTCTCCAACATCCTCATGATATTTTTTATGATGTATAAGAAATATTTCGACATGCTGGTTGCTCGAGAAAGTCAAGAATAAAGTATTATATCATGGGTTACTCCTATTATGTTTTATTCAACGACATGACTCTTACATCTTTTTGATAACTCGAATATAATTAGTGATATGGGAGATAATCTGCCCAATAAAAAAGTGTGAGGAGTGTTGGAAACATTAATTTAGGTCCCTGACGGCACAGTGGAGTGATTGAATGCCAATAATTCATTATACTCGCCCATTGTAGATACTGTGTCATGATTCTAATTCGGAAAATAAACAACAAACCTCGAAGTTAGCGATTTTCTCAACGACATTTTGCACTCAAGCAGATGTTCTCTGCCTAATAATTCAGTTCTCTTCGATATCGTGATCGAGTTTCGAACAACTTCCAAGCAAAATTCCTTCCAGGTGACGATTCCGCACTTTCTCAATTAAAGTCCGTCTATCCGAGACGCTTATCCCTCCGGTCATTATCATCTCTGTCCAGAGAAAACGTCTTCCTTCCTAAATCCAGATTGGAAAATCTAGAGGAGGAAATGTGCATGTTAACTGCGAAGAATTTTAAATTATCTAGCTTTCAACGAATATTCAAGTTTGATGGAATTAATCATTGCCTGAGCGTCACAAAAGAAATGTTTTTCACAAAGGAAAGTCTTTTACTTCAGGATGCATTATGGATGAATCAAAGTCGAAGTCTGATAATAAAGATTCATTAAAAATTACGCAGATACAACTTTCTAGTTGAATGTTGACGTTCCTACTTATGTATTAGGTGATCGAAATATCCTAATAAGTGTCTGTGAATATACAAAGTACTATACACTGTGTCCACCTTGAGGACTTACCACCCCTGTCAAATGGCTATTATCTGATCGATTTCGAATAGTTATTTTTTATACAAGGGAAAAAAGTAGTAAATTTTAGTTCGAAGAACAATCAGCAAAAAAAAATATTTACAGTACCTATACCTTCTGGTTGTGGAAAGTTGAGACCTTTTTCAGTTAGGACAAAGGAACACAAATACAATATAAAGAAAAGACATATCGACAAATCGAAACTAGCTGAACATATCCTTACTGAAGATGAACAACATATGGCAGAGTGGAAAAATATCAAAATCATTGGAAACGAAGATAACAACCAGAAGAGAAAAATCAAGGAAATCTGCTTGCATTCTTCTGAACGGAGACAATAGCATTGCTTCCTGTTCAGTTGATATAGGTAGAACATGGTATCCACTACTGAAATCTGAAAATGAAAATGGAAAATTTGAGAATATTTGATAAAAACATCCTGTAACTCATTTGATTGCCAACGTCACCAATTGTCAATGAGAACTGAAAAGTGTTAGGACAAATACGAATTTGCAATACATTCATTTCTTTAGTTGAAAACGGGAGCAGATTCGTTCCCGAAACGCCCAGAGATAAGTAAAAATTCTATATTTTTTCTATATACCTATATTTCTCTTCTCCAAACCTTTTTCGAT